TTATTATTTTCTTTTATTTTTATAAATAAAATACAGTATATTGCATACGAGAAACTTTTTTTTATATAAGGACATGTATGAAATAGCTATGAAACATTGGAAACCGACGTTATGTCACGATCCACGATGGTTTTTGCAGTTCGCAGCATAGCTTTTGAAGTTTTTAATGCCACTTTTTCACAATTATCACGAGTTGGAGTAAATAAAACTTAAATTAAACTCACAAGATAGCAATAATTACTTTGAAAATGGACGCTATAAACACTTTTCGGGTTTTTTTCAATAAGAGCGGTTTAGATTTTGAAAGATTTTATAATTTTTGAAGATTTTGAGTTTGACAAGACAAATTTTTTCTGTTTTTATTTGCGGTTGTTCTTAGCAACCGCTATAGCAGCGCCTGATCGCGTACAACGGTCGCGAACTAAAATTATGACGGGCTTTCCAATCTAAACTTGTTCCATTTATCTATGATTAATTATAAACCAAAGAATATACCAAGAAAAAGAAAGGAAAGTGCCTTACTAAAAAATGGTTTCATTTTACTGGCGAGAGATCTATTGAGAGGGTCTGAATTTAAATACGCTTATTTATGTAATTACACTTGAAACTATCATTTTAAATATGAAAACCATCTTATAAGTTATTTTTTACACAATATTACCAAATCTAATAGAAAGCTTTACTATGTGTTGTGTAATAAAATTTATACATACATAAAATAAAAGTTAAATATATTAACATCGTTTATTATAATAAAACAAGACCAACCAAAGATCCGTAATTATCAGAAGCTTTCGGTCGCGACCGTTGCAATAATAGCGCCAAATAGTGTTTACATTGTCTTTATGAGCACTTTCCAATCTAAATCTGTTTCATTTATCTATGATAATCATTTGATAATATTATGGTTAGCGCTGTGACGACAATATTTTTTTGAAAATTTGAAAATAGTACAACAATGGTCGTTGGAAACTATGGAAACTACAAAAAAAATCCGATTTAACGCCATCTGGGAATAACTAGTAGCAACTTCTTAACCTAAAAATTAATTACACTAGGTACTTACGACCGAGCTTACTACCTAGCGCCTGAGACTGGAACTATTTCATGTGAAATTTCCGTGAGAACGGTGGAACCGCTGTTGCTATTTCACTTTCCCGCCCCTGATATAAACCATCTATCAAACAATGCAATCGAAATTATAATACCATAGAAACGCGTTTTGATTTTTAGGTTGTTTTTTAGTGGTTTTTTTCAGTTTTGAGTGAGTGGCACCTTTTAGGGGGGGGGGGCATGGCCCTCCCCTGCCTCCCCTTCGCTGCGGCCATTCCATTTTTTTCGGGATTCGCAAAGTACCCTCAAAAACTTTACATCAAATTTGAGAAAAGAAACGTTAATATTTATGATGTTTTTTGTTTATTAGTATTTCAACCCCCCTAGAGAAATGTAATGGCTACGTCCATGTTGCCACCTAATCTTCTAATCATTTGTACTATAAGAAGACTCATTGCAATAATTTTTGTGTAAACGCGCGCACTAGCCTGAAAATCAAAATCTCAATGCAGGCGTATTTAATTGTTTCTGCAACTTTGAAACGCGATTATTTGGAAACCTCTGGATAAAAGTACCACTTGACCCCCATTCCGATTTAAGATTGTAAGGGTGACATCTACCCCTCCTAGAGGGTTAAAAGGAAAAGGCTAAAATATTTATTTAAAGTGTCCTGTTACAAATAAAATTGACGTGTTTTTCCGATTTGTCATATTTTTAACTGCAGGGGTGGGAACTTCTAAAATTTTACATTTTATCTTATTATTTTTGATAGCATACAAAAGGCGATAAAATGAAAAATACCTTAGCTTCTAATGAATTTTTGAAGAAATATTTTTCTAAACAAGTATTTAAACTTGGGGGGAAGAAACTGCTGGTGTTCAGTGGTACAGTCCTTTTGGAGTGCAGTTCTTTCAACTATCTACGCTGTATATATTTCATATCAATTAAACTTTCAGTTACGTAATCGAGGGCGCGATTTTTAAATTCATTGTTGCCAACCATAGACGGCATAGGGCGGCGTGCTGACTAACTGGAATTTAAATTTCGCGCTGAGGATTCAGGTGGTAGCACTGATGTAAAAAATGTCGTATATATTTATTTATTTTGTGACATTGTCATTCGTTTTGACACTTAGTTTTGTATTACGAGTTTTTGGTTTAAATAAATAGTGTTCGGATACTTTAAGCTTAAAAATGTTTACTAGCAGACCTTGCAGTCGAACATTGTTCTTTTTAGAACCTCTTTTAGTGCGAAGTGGGTACAAGATGGCTTAATAGCCGTAAATGACTCATCGCAACTTTATTAGAATATTTTGAACGGGAAAGCGGTAGTAATGGCCCTTTATGTCCCGTAAGTGCTGGTAAGAAGGTGAGTTTTGTTGATGTAAATAATAACTGCTTATATATTTATAATTAATTTATTTTTGTTTCCTAAAATATTTCGAATAAAAGAAAATATATAAAAATAGGCAACGTTGTGCCGGTCAAGCTTTATCACGTGACTAAAAGTTTATTTGGTATGAACTGTATATGAATATTTTCATCATCTTGATAACGTCATCATTTTGATAACATATAAGAGGCGATAAAATTAAAAACTTCCTTCCAATGCCTTAGCTTCGAATTTTTGGAGAGATATTTTTCTAAACATATTTCAACTTGGGATTAGGAAAATCCAAAAGGTCTGCAGTATGAAGTTAGATGAATTTGAATATTTATGCGTCATTTTGAGAATCTATTACAGACAAGAAAATGAAAATCGTGCCTCCAATATCTTAAACCTTTTGCTGAATTTTTCGGGGAATATTTTTCTAAACATACTTAAACTTGGGACTAAATCAAAATTTTCCGCATGAGCAAGCCCGCTTGGTAAACTCCTCGATGCTCGTACGCTTTTTAAAATAATTACGAGACTTCATAATAGTTTGGCGTAAGTTTGTGATGGTTAAAGTTCGGAAGCTTCGGGCATGAGTTATCTTTAATAAAGCTTTTTGTTTTCGAGCATTAGGTCGGCTGGAGAAAATATGACTTTGTGTCTCGATATAAGGAGGAAGTTTACGTTATTTAGTACTTTCAGTATAAGTTCTGGTATTATTCAAAATCTATTCATAATTTTAATTTATTTTCTTACTAGTTGAGCCGGATTACCCGACTAACTTCTTCGTACCGCCTAACAGTGAAGTGAAGTGGAGTAAGAGTTTTTTTTCAATATGTGGTACGGTTGACTGAGTGACCGAATGATCTGGAATGACTGAAAGAAATCGATTTGACTTTTTGTTTGCCACATTTTTGTTTACATTTAGATTCGAGTATACAGGGTGTCCCAATATCCCTATTAAATAAGTTCAATGGAAACAATCTACCTCAATACAAAAGTACTTCGTTTATCCGCTAGAGGGCATCAAACTTTAAAAAAATAAACACATTTTTTTCAGATATTTGGGGAACCGTTATTCCGATTTGAATAAGATTTTGGGGTCTATGTTTTGCTGAGTGCTTTGACATTTGACTTTTACAAAATCAAGAAAAATTACGGGAAGGGTGAAAACTACCCCCAACCTTACATAAATTTTAGTATAAATATTTTCCAACTCCACCGACGACTGATTTTCTTTTTGTAAAATGGGGTCTCCAGTATTTACCTACCACATTTTTGTCTCATGTAAATAACACCACTTCGCATAGTTTTTTGGAGAATTAATTTTTCTAAAGCAGACCTATAAAATATACAGGGAGTTCCAATATTCCGTCGACATAGAACAACTACGTATTTTTTGAATCGAAATAAATTAATTGCACATAATTTACCTCTATACAAAAGTGCTTCGTTTGCCCGTTAGGTGGCATCAATGAAAAATAAACCCGAACGCTAATTAATTTAAAATTAATTAATTTTTTAAAACTTTTTAGGAAGCTTAGATATAGTCAAATATTATTTGCGATACTAACATAAAATTCAATGTTTTTCTCCAACTAGATTAATAGAACATAGTCACAAGCTGAATTTTTCAGGGATGGAAGTACAGTACATGATATGGGGACCCTTATTCCGAAAGTAGTACAAAATTAGACCGGGTAAAAGGGCACTATCATCAAAAATCGATATATTAATACCACCGTATAGAGAAAACAAATACTTATTTTTTGATCCAGTACACAATAAAGTCTTCGCAGGGAGTCATTTTTTATAATTAATTACAAAAAAACATTTCCATTAGCGCTTATGACCAAAAAAAACTTTAAACATGAATAACTCATTTCAATCATGCGAAAATTTGGTTTAAAAATAGACTTTTTTTAATATAACTTCCATTTAACGAAAAACGAAGGCCTAAATGAAAAAAAGAAACAATTTAAAAGTTTCGCTTATGTCTTGACAAGGTATCAAAGCAAACCCCATATTTTTTGTTTTTAAACTAATAAAGATATATCAATAAACAATTAGCGATGTAATGGTTTTTGCGCGCGCTGACCGACTGCCGCCGCTGCGCCTAGATTTCCTATACCCTTGTATATATGACGTCATGGTGTGGCAAATGTAGCATTTTAATTCGATTTGGGCTCCCTTATATAGGATAACAGAAACATTTTCAATGTTAAAATTGGCCATGTAACGATGATAAGGTTTTTTATATAGCCAGCTCTCCTTCTATTACATAAATACCTGCAAGTTGTCTGTAAATCATATTCAGCATGTAAAATAAGTACATAGGTATACATATTCTATTTTTATCTGTTAAGCTTAAATGTTATCTATAAAAAAAAAGTCGCGAAAAAATTACGGAAGAACTTCTAGTACGACTAGTACTACTTCTTTGCATATCATTAAAAATGTCACATTTGAACAATACAAACCAGATCAGTAGAGGCAAGGCTGTTGTGTCTGAAGATTGAAGATTGATCGGGTATAAATAGAACTAACAATGCTTGGAAGTGTATCAGTTATCTGAAGAAACCAAATTAAATCACAATGAAATCTTACGTAAGTGTAATTGTTTCTAACTTTGTGAATAGTTTCTTATTGTTAGTTTGCTTAATAAAGGTACCTACATCATTTTGATAGATTAAAAACTATACGATAACATATTTTTTCTCATTTTTTTTTTCACCTAATTGTGTGTTTAATTTTAGTATTTTTTTATTCACAAGATACTCTAAGATCTATTTCTATACACACAAATATAACTAACAAACGATTTGGTACAAAACAGCTCGTGAATGTGAGAAATTTTATATTTGGAGAAATTTTATATTTGTAAAATGTCTAGCCCTCTAAATATTCGAACTAAAGAACATCACGATTACTTAAGAAATTCAGATTTTTGCAAATCTGAGATTTATCTCATAGGACAAGAACACACAATAGACTTTAACCTCTATTATATTCGTATTCATTATAATATGTGCACATAACTAAACAATTTTCAACTGAAAATTGCACAATTCTAGCATTATTCACAAAAATATTTGATTTTAAACTCTGGATCTGGATACATGTAGCAGATGTGTCTTATAACCATATTACGATCAACATTAAGAAGTTTTATTGAAGTGCTGATGATATTGACATAGTTATCAAAACCAGAATGCAGAGTTTAAGAGTTTTTGGTGAATTAATATAAAACGTAGTAGTAATATAGAACGTAGTAATATAGAACCTTATTTCTTAATTTTCTATACAAACAAAATATAACATTATATTGTTAATGATCAACGATTTTTAAATTTATCTGTTAATTCTGAGTGCCAAAGTGTTATTAATTAATATTTATAAATTGCTTAGGCTTGCGTCGCTCTGTTCGCTTTTTTGGCCGTGGCCAATGCTGGAGTCCTTGTAGCCCCATCAGCCAAAATCATCCAAGGACCAAGCAGCAGAACCACAGTGGTCGGACCTGACGGTAGCGCCATCTCTTCTGTAGCACCAGCCGGCCAAATCGTCCAAGAAGAAAGCGTAGGAGTTGTAGCCGAAACCGCACCCGTAGTAGCCGCCCCCGCTGTTGCATACTCTGCTCCCGCTGTAGCCGCTTACCATGCCCCAGCCGTTGTAGCTGCCAGAACTGTCGTTGCTCCAGCTGCTCCAGTAGTATCAGCTTATTCCGCACCTATTGTATCCGCCTATTCAGCTCCATTCGTCTCAGCTTATTCCGCACCTGTTGTGTCGGCTTATTCTGCTCCTCATGTTTCTGGAGTTGTAGCTACATCGTCTGTCGATACTGTAGTAGCTGGACCATCTGGAACCATCGCTACAGGAAAGACTGTAGCTGCTCCCGTTGTATCTGCTCCAGTTGTAGCTTGGTGAAGATGAAGATTGTTTATGATTAATTTATACATAAAAATAAAAAAAAACAACAAAATTTTAAATAAATGATAAAGTGCACATTTTCATTTCTTTTTTATATTTCTTTCTCACCTTTTTGCAATCAAATGCTTCCAAATATGACCTTTGGGAAACTAATTGTTTCCTAAAGTTGAGTACTTAACGAGAAAATATTCATACAATTTTAATTAAATGAAAAATTTAATACATTTTGTTGAATTGTTTCGTGTTTTTATTATAGTCCAGTAAATAAAGGTTGAAACCATGGCCTAATTCGTCAACCAGGACTTTTCAGGCGGATTGTGTACCTTTTGGACAGTAGTTTTTAGGGAAAAATTGTAACACCATGCTCGGCCAGCTTTGGCCGAAAAAATGGCCCCAAATGGCCCAAAAATCAGTTTTTCGCAAATATCTGCCAAAAGATACAATTTTCAAAATTTTTCATCGAATAAAAAATGAAGGTAATTATCCACAAAAATAATCCTTATAATGGTTACGTAAAATTAGTAGTTTTCGTGATATTCCGCCTCAAAGACACTTCAATTTTCTCTCCAAGTCTTAACGCTCCGAAGATAGATTTCATAAGTCTGTCATTGATTGATAGGGGATATTGTTTAATAACTCGGTTAAAATTTAATATTTTTTGATGATTTAAAATTCATTTAAAAGGTAGAATTAACAGCTATCACGTTTTGGAACTTGTATGAATTTTGTCATATTTTATGATAATAAAAAAACCGGGCAAACATTCCTTATTTGATCCAAAAAGTTTCAAATTTTTAGGAACTTATTTTTTCACTAATAATAAATTATTTCTCAACAAAAATAACAGTTGTTCTTTTTAATCAATTCAGAAAGTTTGAAGTATTAAAATATGATTAATCACATTTTAATACAAACAACTATTCGTGAGTGGCTTTTTGAGATATCCGGAAAGTATCGTTCTTTTTACTAACAACTTTACGAAAAAACTGTTAGAATCATTTTTTTAAGCTAAGGACCCTCTTCCATTTGGCGATCATGAAAATCATCTACTACTACTATTGCCATTACTCGCTGATGAGTATTTGACACGTATCAGAAGATGGTTACGCAAGGCGTTTTCTTTCATGAGCTTTTCTGTGACTGAAAAGATACATGATGTTATCACTCTTCCGCACTCCAGACATTCAAAATGTCATTAGTTTGTTGCCTCTTTACTTTTTGGTTGTCATTGTTGACTGAGTTTACGATTTTTCTCCATTGCGTTCTATTGTGCGCACTTCCGGTAAGTTCACTTCCATATAACATGGCGGGGATGATTATTGTTCGGTATACTGCAAGTTTCGTTTTTGTTCAGAGTCGATATTGGCCTTTTTCGAAATCAAACTGCCGAGGTAATTGAATTCCGCTACATATTCCAATAGTTCTTCTCCGATTTTATAGCACTGTTATGATTTTCCGAGGGAGAGCACCTGATTTTAGTTTTATCGATGTCATGTTTTCAGCTTAAGGCCCAAAACCTGAACATAATATTTCAACATTTCTTGTAATTGCTGTAACGTTTTTGAAACTATTCTTTGACTCTTTAGGGCCGTTTTTAACCGTTTTCCTGGAACTTTACGAAAAAAAAGCATGAAGATCTTTTGTGTAGATAATGACCTAAGCTTTGTTTTTTGGAAAATATTCCAAGAGGTTGTAGACAAAACTGTATCCCAGTGCTGACTAGTAATACGAAGGACATACTAACTAAATATGAAGAGCTATATTCCAAGGACCCCTTTAGTGATGAAACAATAACATGCGGAACAACTCTGATGACCACACTTAGCGAGACAAGACAAAAAAAGTGGATAGAGTCCCTAGAAAAGATGGACATGAAACACAGCAGTAACATAGCATGGAACCTCATCAAGAAACTTGATGGTGACCCCAAACAAACCCAAGAACCATCCAAAGTAACAGCCAATCAAGTAGCCCACCAACTCCTCCTAAATGGAAAGCCAACGACAAAAGGTCAGAAAGCACGACTGCATCGAGATATCCGCAGTGAAAATAGATATTTTGGTTCTCCTTTTACAATAAAGGAACTCAACGATGGCATAAACACGCTGAAAAACGGAAAAGCTGCCGGAGTCGATGATATTTGCGTCAACAAATCAAACATTTTGGGCCAGACACAAAAGAATGGCTCTTACAACTCTTCAACCACTGCCGAAAGAATTTCAGGACACCAAAGCTATGGAAAAAGTTAGAAGTAGTTGCCCTCCTAAAACCAGGGAAAGATCCCAACTCTGCGAACAGCTACAGACCAATCTCGCTGCTGTGTCATCTATTTAAACTATATGAAAGACTGATACTAAACCGAATTAGCAACGTCGTCGATTCAAAAATCATACCCCAACAGGCTGGCTTCAAACCTGGTAAATCATGCACCAATCAAGTCTTAGCGCTGACAGAGCATATAGAAAAGGGATATGAAAACAAAGTAATTACGGGGCTGGTCCTCGTCGACCTAACCGCTGCCTATGACACCGTCAACCACAGCAAAATGCTGTCAAAAGTATATAACACAACAGGAGACTACCAATTAATGAAGATAATAGAATCACTCCAGCAAAACCGTCAATTCTATGTCACCCTTGAAGGGAAAAAATCCGCTGGAGATACCAAAGAAACGGCCGAGCCCAGGGAAGCGTGCTGGCTCCGATTTTGTTTAATATCTACACCAACGACCAACCAGCACCGGAAGACACAAAACACTTTGTATACGCTGATGACCTGGGTATTACGGCTCAAGGAAGAACCTTTGAAGAGGTTGAAGCAAGGTTAGAGAGCGCTTTAAACGCCATATCTGCCTACTATGAACTGAACTTCTTAAAACCAAATCCTTCCAAAATACAGGTCTGTGCATTCCACCTTCACACACGACTAGCAAACCGCAAACTTAAGGTCGCTTGGAACGGAGAGACCCTTGAACACACAAATAAACCTGTGTACCTTGGAGTCACACTCGACAGATCTCTAACCTACAAACACTACTGCGAAAAAAACCGTCAAAAAGTGGCTGCGAGGAACAATATATTAAGAAAACTAACCCACAGTAAGTGGGGCGCTAAACCTGACGTCCTAAGAACGACGGCACAAGCGCTATGTTTCTCCACAGCCGAATACGCCTGCCCTGTCTGGCCAAGATCAGCGCATGCCAAAAAGGTCGATATACGCCTCAACGAAACTTGTAGACTTGCGACAGGGTGCATGAAGGCTGCTCCGCTGGATAAACTGTACCAAGCAGCAGGTTTTCACAGTCCTAACTCACGTAGGGAGGCACATGAATTCAGCGAGAAGTTTAAAAAAACCTTCGTCAATCGTCACCCACTTTTCGGGCAATACCAAGAATCTAAAAGACTAAAATCCAGACGACGATTCCTCAGCAGCCCCCTGGATGAACCACCCACAAACTATCGTCTGTCAGAAAGCCTGCTGAGTGGTGCCTCGTTCAACTTTAAAACCTGGAGAATGTTGAACCGCATAAGAACAGGAGTTGCTCCGGTAAAAACCAATCTGATCAGATGGGGCCTTGCGCAACCAAATGACGACAAATGCGACTGTGGGATGATACAAGATATGGAACACCTTCTAAAGTGCGTTAATTGTCCTGCACATTGCAACTCCGACGATTTATGGCAAAGCAAACCCGAAGCATTGGACGTGGCTCAATATTGGGCCGAGAAAATATAGAATGTTCCGGACACGAAAAAGTAAAGTAAGTTTTGGAAAACATTTGTAAATTGCATATTTTGGCAGATATTTGTGAAAAACTAATTTTTAGACCATTTGGGGCAATTTTTTCGGCCAAAGCCGGCCGAACACGGTGTTATAGTTTTTCCACCTAGAACCACCTAGGTACACAATCCGCCTAAAAAGTCGACGAATTATGTCGAGACTTGATGGTCTGTTTGTGTCTTTATTTACTGGACTATTATATCATTTTTGCTCTTAATTATTTCGAACGACTCTTAACAAATTTACGGTTGTTCTACGGGAATTTCAATCTGAGATACTTAAAATTGCTGGCGCACTTAAACAGTCGATATTTCAATATTTTATCGTTGAAAATCCGGACGTAAAATTCGAGTAATTTTATTTTAAAATCAGAAATTGAATCATATATCAATATGGAATTAAAGCTATTTTAATTTGTGCTTGTATTAACCGGTAAATTGGACTGTATGCTTTTACTGTCGTGTATAGAGCAAAATAAGCTTTTATACGAACGGTCAATTTTATTCGAGAGTATAATTGAGTTATATAGCAAATTTATGATTTAAAAGTAAATTACTTATTCGAATTTGATGTGTCGCAAATATATTTTATTTTATTTTTTTAATAACTGGACATGATTAAAAAGATAGGAATGGAAAGGATTGAATTTGAATAAATTTAAATACATTTTTATTACTAATACTACTGCTGCCACTCAAGTCTTTGTATACCAGAGAAGAGATTAAAAAATTCTGCGTACAACTTTAGAGGAGGAACCTCACTATAAAGTTTCTGGTTCCTTACTACAAAATTTGAAGTGAAAGTGTCCATTATAGATAGTTATTCACCAAGGTTGTTAATAAGTCTAGAATATCTGGAGGATGAACGATTGGGTAGCATAAGGATATTTGAAGACTTGAAGTATATAATGTGCTAAGTGCCAATTATAACCACAGTCCAAAAAAATCTAAGCGTAACATGGTCCGGGCCTTTAATGGTCATCAATCGACTCCTTGCAGTAATGTAGACAGTACATAACAATTGGTGGCCCACCATCGAGTAGTTAGATTCAGTTCCGAGTTGCAGTGTAGTGTACCCAAGTAGCATTTTCACGACTTGCGACCACATGTTTACTAAATACAACGTTGGATTAGTTACAAAAAATAATTAGCTCCGTACATTGGGTATTAAAATAAATGTAAACGTTGTTCTAACGTTGTACCGACGTTGAACTAGTACTACAACAAA